AAAAATATACATATATATATGTATATATATATATATATATATATATATATTTACAAAAAAAAATATATATAATATATAATATATAGTCCTTTCATCAACAGCTTCTATCTAAGTAATATTTGTTATGATTGTCGCGAAAGCCGAACTATTAATTTAGTTCACGACCAATCAACACGTGCCGTGTAGGCACGTCAGCCACTAAAGGAAACTATAAGTGAAGTCTTTAACGGACAGACTCAGTTTTGTCTCGCACGCCGCTGTCATATTTTAACAATAACTCTCTTCGAGATTCACCTTTTTTCGCGTGCGAAGAGTTCATCGTCTCGGCAATGTCTCTACGTAACCTCGCGGAAGTGAGAAGACCGTCAACGCAGCTCAACCCAGCCTATTCAGCAATCCACAGCAGCGAATTTAATTTGATAACGTCCAATTATTGTTACGAACATCTACTACTCCATCGCCCGACCAAATTCCTGCTCTGTAACGTCTGTCTGCGATTCGTCTGTGTGCGCTCATCCTGCGCTGAGTAGTTCCGGCAGATCGGGCGTTCTCTCAAGGTAAGCCCGAAACATACTTATACAAAATAACAAAGAATTAGATCGTTTTATATCACATTTACTATGAAAAGATAATAAATTAATTACAGATATATTCTCAAATAAACGCTTTTTAAATTATTTTCGTCACAAATTTATATTGATAATTATACTGATATTATGAAAAAATATGACGTATTTATATGGGAAAATTATTTTTCTTTTCTGTGTGTCTCTGTCCTCTATTATATAAACTTTTATTATTATTAAATATTTTTTATATGTATACAGAAAAACATAATTTATTAATGTCTCATTAGTTTTTTAAATTCCACCTGTTATATACATTTCTATGTCTCCTGTTATATACACTTTTATATACAAAAATACATATATAACATATAATACATAGTTAATACATATACATATAATACATATAATACATATAATACATATAATACATATAATACATATAATACATATAATACATATAATACATATAATACATATAATACATATAATACATATAATACATATAATACATATAATACATATAATACATATAATACATATAATACATATAATACATATAATACATATAATACATATAATACATATAATACATATAATACATATAATACATATAATACATATAATACATATAATACATATAATACATATAATACATATAATACATATAATACATATAATACATATAATACATATAATACATATAATACATATAATACATATAATACATATAATACATATAATACATATAATACATATAATACATATAATACATATAATACATATAATACATATAATACATATAATACATATAATACATATAATACATATAATACATATAATACATATAATACATATAATACATATAATACATATAATACATATAATACATATAATACATATAATACATATAATACATATAATACATATAATACATATAATACATATAATACATATAATACATATAATACATATAATACATATAATACATATAATACATATAATACATATAATACATATAATACATATAATACATATAATACATATAATACATAGTTATATCAGTCTTTACCTCTAAAAAAATTTATTTCTAAGAAAAGTATAGAGGATTCATCCCTATACTTTCATTTAGTACATTTCTTATCATGTACTTCTTATCCTCTGTACATTCTTAATCATTCTCACTTCTTATTATTGTTCGCTTTTTCTAGAGTATTCAAAAGGGTGTATTGATACATGTCGTTGTTGACCTTCTTCAATCTTTCAACCTCCGCCTTCATTAACTTCAGCTTCGTGCTCCATATTTCTTCCCGTGCTATAGGCTCTTTCATGTCACCCTGTACGTAAGAGTCGAAATTTAAGATCTCGGCGGAATCCCGTCCTCTCGAAATTATCTCAACGGTGCCATTGTTACCGTTTGAGGTCTGCTGCAGGTTACGCAACTCCAAACGCGGCCTCAACGTGGTGGCACGGAAATTCTCGAATGCCTGCGCGAAGAACGCGGCGGTAATTGGTCCTTTGTGCTCGATCGTTCTGAGCACGTGCCGACTGGCGATATCCCAAATGTGAACTGCTCCGTCGGTATCGCCCGACAACAAGGTAAGGCAGTCCCCTGATACCGACAAAGCAGTAACGTGAAACTTATGGGCTCTGAACAAAACATTGTTCTTTTCGGCATCCTTATCTGAGCCCACTTTCACATGTTGCTCTAAGCCACGTGGCGGCTCGTGTAGGTTACACCGAAATATGTCGCCAGTAGTGCAACCTACGAAGAGCTCGCTGTCGCGGATGTTTACAGCGATGACCGTGAGTGGCATGTTGAACACTATAGACAGCAACCGAATGCCGCTACCGAGTTCGTAGATGTTTACTGTTCGGTCCAAGGAGACTGAGTATAATCTCGCGCGAGTCCCGCCATGACCAAAGTGCAGATCACCGACCGGCAAGCTGTGGTCAGCGAATTTGTGGACGGACACGCAACGCTCGTCGTTGAGCGCGCTGTAGAGCGACCACACGAACACAAGACCATCCTCGCCGGCGCTAGCAAACAATGAGCCGTCCTTCGTGGTGCACAGGCAGGTTATGGTCTGCAAATGTCCGGTCAAAGTGGCTACCAATAGCCCGTTGCAACTTTGCCAGACAAGCAATCTTTCTCCCACGGCGCTGATCACGTAGGATCCATTCGGCGTACAAGTTAAGGCGCTCACTTTACCTGGTGTGGTCAATCTGAGATTACGTACGGGCGAGGGATTGTTCAATGACCACACGTGTATACGGGGCTTGCTAGAGTCGGCACCTAATAGATAGCTATCACTCAGAAGCTGAAGAGTGCGATGACGAAGAACTCCCGCGTTCTTGTAAGCGCATAACAAAGAACCATTTGCTGGATCCCAAACTGCAGCACTGCAGCTCTCCCCGGAGGCCTCGCTTGTCAGGATGACTTCGTGTTTCATATCACTTGCTCGTTTCATCCTATGAAAATTCACTCTCTTATAACTCTTATAATGGTTTTTACACTGCCACGTGCTCTTATTTCGCGTGAACTTAATCTTAAATATTTTCTCTTTTATATTTATATTTTTCAATATATACTTTTAAATATCTATTTTACTCGGTATGTAAAATATATGACACTGATGTAAATATACCTATATTTATATGTAGAAAATACGAAGAGTTACTTTCTTCCTCTTCTCCCTTGCCTGTATCGACCGACACCGTCTAGAGCCATGCAAAGAAAGAATGCGTTTGGTTAGATTGGATCTCTTCCTCTCAATTATATATGCTGCGCCCTCTGCAGAATTGCATGAGCGTCTTCGCAGAAACGTCTTCTGGCGTACAACCAGTTAAGGCCTGTTCTACAATACGTCGTATGTCGGACGCAATCAGTGGTCCAATCAGTATTTAAACACTCTCTTACTAAAAGAAATTTCTATTATGAATAAGACTTGTACTATAGATAAAAGGTGAAATTCTTCTAATTTTAAGATATCGTGCTTAAAATATTTTCCTTTTAGTTTTAAAGGAATGCTTTTTAAGTCATATAGAAGATTCCGCTAAAAATAAGATCATATTTTTGCGATATATTATTTTGCGAATATATTATTTTGTTCCAACATATTTTGCAAAAATTTTTATCGCGTATTTTCTCACTTTTGACGTCATAAATTGAGGTGGTGAGAAATCACAAGCTTAATTATTCTCGAGGTTTGGAAAATGAGATGTGGAAGGTTGTGGACAAGAAGTAAGTAATAAGTAAATAGACCAATCCAATCGATTATTCTTGAATCGTGAGAATGGAATTGGTCAATTTGCTTACTGCTTATTTCTTAGGGCCGTGGCACACAGAAAAACTTAAGCAGTAATGGCTCCTGCACACAGGAATGCTTGCCGCGCGGTGGAAGTTCGCGCGACAGCCAATCAATATGTTGTTTTTCCGTAGAAGCTAGAAGGTTATTACGGAAAGCAGCATATTGATTGTCTGTCGCGCAAACTTCCGCCGCGCGGCAATTATTACCGCGTCCTGTATGCATGAGCCATAAAACGTAAGCAGTAAACAAATTGACCAATCACAGTCGTTGATTCTTGGACCGTAAGAAGAATCAATGACTGTGATTGGTCAATTTGCTTACTGCTTACGTTTTACTGCTTAAGTTGTTTTGTGTGTCACTAGCCTAAAGCGTCTTCTACAATGGCAGTAGGAGTAGTAGTAAGAAATAAGCAGTAAATAAATAGACCAATCACAATCGATTATTTTTGAAACGTAAGAATGGAATTGGTCAATTTGCTTACTGCTTATTTCTTACTACTACTCCTACTGCCATTGTAGAAGACGCTTAAAGCTGGCCACACACACTTCCGTAGCAGTAACCGTAAGATGTAACGTAAGAATTGACCAATTACGATCGAGTATTCACAAAAATGGCGACCTTACAATTCGACGATTCTCAACATGATTGGTCAATTCTTATATTACGTCTTAAAGTCCAAATCACACTAGCGATTGGCGATTGATGATTGATAATTACAGATTAGATTTTAACGAATCAACAAGCTGCAGCCTTGGCTTGTTATGTTCTTAGTTGGTCAAGTTCCAATCTTCAATCGTCAATCTTCAATCGTCAATCATCTATCGCCAATCGCTAGTGTGATTTGGTCTTTACGGTTACTGTTACGAAAAGTATGTGTGGCCAGCTTTACTACAACTACTGCCATTGTAGACGACATATCAGTTGAACAGTGGAATGAAGGTCGGTTCTACAATACGTCGTATGCTCTGTCGGATGTCGGAACGCAGTCGATGGGCCAATCAGAGGATTTGTTTTTCGAGAAGAGTTCTTCTGATTGGACCACTGATTGCGTCCGACATACGACGTATTGTAGAACGGATCTTAACTGGTTGTACGCCAGAAGACGTTTCTGCGAAGACGCTCATGCAATGTTCTGCAGAGGACGCAGCATATATAATTGAGAGAAAGAGATACAATCTAACCAAACGGTTCTTTCTTCGCATGGCTCTAAACGATGTCGGTCGATACAGGCAAGGGAGAAGAGGAAGAAAGTAATTCTTCGTATTTGCTACATATAAATATAGGTGATATACATCTAGGTACTATCTAGGTCTATTACATATAGGTATATTTACATCAGTTACATATATTTCGCATACCGAGTAAAACAGATATTTAAAAGTATATATTGAAAAATATAAATATAACAGAACATATTTAAGAACATATTTAAGATTAAGTTCACGCGAAATAAGAACACGTGGCAGTGTAAAAACCGTTATAAGAGTTATAAGAGAGTGAATTTTCATAGGATGAAACGAGCAAGTGATATGAAACACGAAGTCATCCTGACAAGCGAGGCCTCCGGGGAGAGCTGCAGTGCCGCAGTCTGGGATCCAGCAAATGGTTCCTTGTTATATGCTTACAAGAACGCGGGAGTTCTTTGTCATCGCACTCTTCAGCTTCTGAATGATAGCTATCTATTAGGTGCCGACTCTAGCAAGCCCTGTATACACGTGTGGTCATTGAACAATCCCTCGCCCGTACGTAATCTCAGATTGACCACACCAGGTAAAGTGAGCGCCTTAACTTGTACGCCGAATGGATCCTATGTGATCAGCGCCGTGGGAGAAAGATTGCTTATCTGGCAAAGTTGCAACGGGCGATTGGTAGCCACTTTGACCGGACATTTGCAGACCATAACCTGCCTGTGCACCACGAAAGACGGCTCATTGTTTGCTAGCGCCGGCGAGGATGGTCTTGTGTTCGTGTGGTCGCTCTACAGCGCGCTCAACGACGAGCGTTGCGTGGCCGTCCACAAATTCGCCGACCACAGCTTGCCGGTCGGTGATCTGCACTTTGGTCATGGCAGGACTCGCGCGAGATTATACTCAGTCTCCTTGGACCGAACAGTAAACATCTACGAACTCTGTAGCGGCATTCGGTTGCTCTCGCTAGTGTTCAACATGCCACTCACGGTCTTCGCTGTAAACATCCGCGACAGCGAGCTCTTCGTAGGCTGCACCACCGGCGACATATTTCGGTGTAACCTACACGAGCCGCCACGTGGCTTAGAGCAACATGGGAAAGTGGGCTCAGATAAGGATGCTGAAAAGAATAATGTCTTGTTCAGAGCCCATAAGTTCCACATTACTGCTTTGTCGGTATCAGGGGACTGCCTTACCTTGTTGTCGGGCGCTACCGACGGAGCAGTTCACATTTGGGATATCACCAATCGGCACGTGCTCAGAACGATCGAGCACAAAGGACCAATTACCGCCGCGTTCTTCGCGCAGGCATTCGAAAATTTCCGTGCCACCACGTTGAGGCCGCGTTTGGAGTTGCGTAACCTGCAGCAGACCTCAAACGGTAACAATGGCACCGTTGAGGTAATTTCCAAAGGACGGGATTCCAGGGAAATCTTGAATTTCGACTCTTACGTACAGGGTGACGTCAAAGAGCCTCTAGCACGGGAAGAAATGTGGAGCACGAAGCTGAAGTTAATGAAGGCGGAGGTTGAAAGATTGAAGAAGGTCAACAACGACATGTATCAACATGTGCACACTTTTGAATACACTAGAAAAAGCGAACAATAATAAAAAGTGAGAATGATTAAGAATGTACAGAGGATAAGAAGTACATGATAAGAAATGTACTAAATGAAAGTATAGGGATGAATCCTCTATACTTTTTTTAGAAATAAGTTTTTTTTAGAGGTAAAGACTGATATGAATATGTATTATATGTATTATATGTATTATATGTATTATATGTATATGTATTAACTATGTATTATATGTTATATATGTATTTTTGTATATAAAAGTGTATATAACAGGAGACAGAAATGTATATAACAGAAGGAATTTAAAAAATTAATGAAACATTAATTAACATTAATTAAAATCCAAATTATATCATAGGGATATCCTAAAAATATAAGGTGTAATTAAAAGAAATCCATTATTTTTGCATGAAATTGAAGGCTTTATTTAGCATAGTTAGAATGATCCGATTTACACTATTCACATTTTCTGCCGCCTGGCTTGCGTTTTCGCCTTTATCGAAGAAAAACTAAAATATGGCGTATTTTCTCTTTGCTGGTCCATCTTTTACGCGCGCTCAAACAATACTGAGTCAAACAATCACAAAACTGTCTGAGAAGTTTTTTTAATACGAAATCTTATTTTTCTAACGCCATCTAGCGTAAACCGATCGCACTTATACAACGCGAGATACACATTACTAAAGCCATCTATTGGAAAAATAATGGATTTCTTTTTACTACACCTTATATATTTGAGATTTTAAGATACCTCTATGATGTATTTGGGACATTCCTGCTGTATGGGACAAGATTTCGAGTTATACATATAACATAAATGTAATACGTCAATAAAATATGATGTAACCGTTGAATCAACAATTAAAAGATAATATGACAATGATATTGGTCATTGAAAGATTACATAATTGGAATATAAATTATCCATTAGTTAGCAAGCACAGGTGTGCAGGTGTGTAATTGGTATAACGTTGTAATATAAAAAAATATAACACACAATACAGCGTATAAATTGCATACTTTATTAACTTGTTGCGTACATCGAAAAAATTATTATTTTATTGAATATTTCTTTATTTAATTATATGCAGCAGCTATGCATGTTACCAATTAAATACCTGTTAAACATATCCTCGATCAACGTAATAATTAATAAAGGCGATATTTAATTAGTTTATTATAATGTAAAAACATCTTGCCAATATAAATTGATTAGTTATTGCTAAAGGAATTATTACTGGTGAGCGTAATTTCGATAAATTGAAAAGATAAGCCATTTCATTATAGGAACGAGTTTCGCGGAATAAGTTTCGCGATATCGTGATAGCGATTCTTGCATACGTTAATGAATGAGATTTTATGAATAAGAAGTTCATTAAATGAACAATGCGACATTTGTAACGCTCTTTTTATATTTACAACTAATCTAACCAGTTCCTAATCAGTTCCAGTTTAGTACAGTCCCAGTTCAGTGAAAAAGATCAAAAACCAATAATATATATATGTGAATATTTAGATATCTCAAAAAAGTAAAAGTGCTAGTAAGATGAAAAAATATTTTTTCATTCTATTTCGAATTCGAAACAAAAAGGCAATATCATCTTTCAAAGAATTCTTTGCAAAGAATCTTCTGGAAGATTCTATACACGCAATCAGTATTGGTCTTATTCGGCCGTTAGAATATTTATTGTCACGGCGTTTTTGCAATCTTTCAGCTTAAGTCTTATCGCCCGAGACATTCGCTACAACAGTGATCAAATCTTTCCCAAACAAAGTTATACACAAAAAATTCCAGCCTATTGATTTCGATGCTGCAGAAACAAGTTTTTCCTTCTAATATATACTGAAATCCTTTCATTATACACATAATTAATTAATGTCACATTAATTTTTTAAATTTCTATGTCTCCTATGATATACATCCCTTATAGAAATATCATACTAAGAATCATTGATAATTATTTATTATCCAGTATTTTTAATACTGAAAATTAGTAATTATCAATGATTCTTAGTATGATATTTCTATAAGGGATTTTTATGTAAAAAATATATATATATATGTATATATATATTTACAAAAAAATATATATATAATATATAATACATAGTCCTTTCATCAACAGCTCCTATCTAAGTAATATTTGTTATGATTGTCGCGAAAGCCGAACTGTTAATTTAGTTCACGACCAATCAACACGTGCTGTGTAGGCACGTGAGCCACTAAAGGAAATTATAAGTGAAGTCTTTAACCAACGGACAGACTCAGTTTTGTCTCGCTCGCCGCTGTCATATTTTAACAATAACTCTCTTCGAGATTCACCTTTTTTCGCGTGCGAAGAGTTCACCGTCTCAGCAGTCTCTACGTAACCTCGCGGAAGTGAAAAGACCGTCAACGCAGCTCAACCCAGTCTATTCAGCGATCCACAGCAGCGAATTTAATTTGATAACGTCCAATTATTGTTACGAACATCTACTATTCCATCGCCCGATCAAATTCTTGCTCTGTAACATCTGTCTGCGATTCGTCTGTGTGCGCTCACCCTGCGCTGAGTAGTTCCGGCAGATCGGGCATTCTCTCAAGGTAAGCCCGAAACATACAAAATAACAAAGAATTAGATCGTTTTATATCACATTTACTATGAAAAGATAATAAATTAATTATAGATACATTCTCAAATAAACGCTTTTTAAATTATTTCCGTCCCAAATTTATATTGATAATTATACTAATATTATGAAAAAATATGACGTATTTATATGGGAAAATTATTTTTCTTTTCTGTGTGTCTCTGTCCTCTATTATATAAACTTTTATTATTATTAAATGTTTTTTATATGTATACAGAAAAACATAATTTATTAATGTCTCATTAGTTTTTTAAATTCCTCCTGTTATATACACTTTTATATACAAAAATACATATATAACATATAATACATAGTTAATACATATACATATAATACATATAATACATATAATACATATAATACATATAATACATATAATACATATAATACATATTCATATCAGTCTTTACCTCTAAAAAAATTTATTTCTAAGAAAAGTATAGAGGATTCATTCCTATACTTTCATTTAGTACATTTCTTATCATGTACTTCTTATCCTCTGTACATTCTTAATCATTCTCACTTCTTATTATTGTTCGCTTTTTCTAGAGTATTCAAAAGGGTGTATTGATACATGTCGTTGTTGACCTTCTTCAATCTTTCAACCTCCGCCTTCATTAACTTCAGCTTCGTGCTCCACATTTCTTCCCGTGCTAGAGGCTCTTTGATGTCACCCTATACGTAAGAGTCGAAATTTAAGATCTCCGCGGAATCCCGTCCTCTGGAAATTACCTCAACGGTGCCATTGGCTGCATTCAGTAGACTCAACAGTTGAGACATCTGTTTCCGATGGATCGAACTCCGCTATGAATTTTCTACTGGATTCGTTTGTGATATCGCTACTAGTAAAGATGGCTACTTCTAATGTATTACTTTAAAATAAAAGCGGATAAGGTTAAGTTAAGAGTAGTTTGACAGTAAAATTAAATTTGAAATACTTACGAATAATTTATAAAATAACATTGCATTATAAAGTTATGTTATGTTATTACAGGAAATCTATACGTTCATACAGAACCTAAGCAGAATAGCTATCTTGTGAACTTACGACAATGTGTAATACAGTTTAATTATTGTTAATTTAATATTTTTACATGTATAAGTATGTAT